TCCAAAAATAATTTTGAGAAACTAGGGGTCTCCTTTAAACTGTTAAAGTTAACAGCTAAAACTTTCCATTTTATGCCTAAAAATGTTCAAAACTTGTCACAGCACATTGTAAAAATTAACCATTTAAATAAAACTATTCTGTCATTCTTTTAAACATGCCAAATTGGGTAAAACATCTAGTCATAAGACGAACTATCTTGTGCTTTAAAATGACATAAACAAGTTTTCTTTGATAGTTGGAAAATTTACATCATTTCTTTTTGGTCTAGAGCCTGTATTTTTCATTTTACTTTCCCCACAAAGTTGAATTCTGGTATTATTAGTCACCCATTCAAACTCATTCAGAATTAAATCCATTACTTTTTTTCATTTTTATAGATGTAAGCAATTAAAAAATTCTTCATATAGATAAGTAAATTAGAATGAAAAAAGTTGTGCTTCTGACTTAAATGTCCAGAGTTATATTGTAATCCATCAAAAATTATTTTAATGTTTCATTGGCTGACAATTAGATTCTCCTTTAACTCTGTCAAAACCTGAGAATTGTAAATAACTGAGTTTTAAAATTATTCATTATTTAGTCACTATACTCATTTAGTTAATTTCAGAGAATTATTTTTTGAAAGGCTTTACTGAGGCTTATCAACAAATATATAATTATACCTGTTACTCCTTTATGTGAAAACATTTTGTGTAATCTAATGTAGAATGAATTTGGAAAATCAAAATATTGTTAATTATATTAATTATAGTACTCCTTACTCAAAATATTTTTAATAACATATTTTTTTTTTAGATGGAGTTTCACCCTTGTTGCCTAAGCTGGAGTACAATGGAACAATCTCGGCTCACCGCAACCTCCATCTCCTGGCTTCAAGCGATTCTCCTGCCTCAGCCTCCTGAGTAGCTGGGATTACAGGCAGGAGCTACCAAGCCCAGGTAAATTACTGTATTTTTGGTAGAAAAGGGGTTTCACCATGTTAGCCAGGCTGGTCTCAAGACTCCTGACCTCAGCTGATCCACCCACCTCGGCCTCCCAAAGTGCTGGGATTACAGCTGTGAGCCACTGTGCCCAGCTGAAAACATATTTTTATCTGATCATTCAATATATGCACCCAAACCTCATAACTGCAGACTCAGCTCTGTCAACTTATGGAGGTGTCCACCACGCAAAGCCAGTTGTCATTACAAAACCAATCAACCAACCTGTATTTGCTTTCTATTAGAAAAAGTCTGTCCTCATTTTTCAATCTAAGTGACTGTTGTTAACACAGTGTTCCTGTAACACGCTTCTCACTTCTGAATTCTAACATAGACAGATACTGGAACAGACCTTTTCCGGAGGTTGCTACCTGAACAAAATAAGGCTCCTCTGACCTTCAGTATTCCAAGCATAATCTTTAGGAGCCACCACGTTTTACTGCTATGTCTCTTCCTTCTGTCGTGGGCACTGTTACACACCAGGCTAGAGCCGCTCTGTGACTGCATCCTGAAGTGAAGAGAGCACACAGCATATTCTCTTCACTCTGCTCTCACGTGCCTCTCCCGGTGAAGTATTGCACTCATCAACAAGTAAGGGATATAAGAAAATGTCATTGCTTCCGCTACCCTACTTTACAACATATTTGAGTTGGGAGCATTGCCACAGAAGCTGAAATACCATTTCTAATGCCATAGTTTTCACCCCACAGAAATATGTAAAAGAGAAAGTCACAAAGTCCTTTAATCAGTGAAATCATCATAACTGATATTTTTCATTGAATTGGAAATTTTTATACCCCTGAACGATTCACTGTGGTAAGATTTCAGACGTGTGAATTTATGCCTTTTTTTTTTTAATTGGAAAGTGAAAACAAAGGCAGAAAAGAAGGATGCATGTGGCTTCCTGAATTGCAGGCTCTTTCCAAGACAATGATCACAGGAAATAGTCTGTATGGTTTTCGAACATATGTAAACTGATGCTCTTAAAACAATTTATCCCCATGTAGCTTTTTGGAAAGATTTTCTATTCCCCAACTGGTACCAGGACCCCAATGTTGCTGACATCAAAGCAACTGAGAAGATTTTATGTAATTCACAATGCTTGAAAAATAAGAAATTCATTCACTACTATATGCATTAATTTTCCATTACTGTATAACAAACACCAGCGGAAGAAAATACACATTTATTACTTCACAGTTTCCATGGGTCTAAGTACACACAGCCCAAGCACATCTTCACTGGGTCTTCGACCCAGGGTAAGCTGCCTCAAAATGTCAGCCAGTGCTGCAATCTCATCTAAAGCTGAGCTCCTCTTCCAAGCTCACTGGTTACTGACAAGAGCCAAGTTTTAGGATTGTAGGACTGGGCTCTCTCTCCTAGAGGCTGCACATGTCCCCTGCCATGTGACCCTCTCCACAATGTGGCAGTTTGTTTTCTTAAAACCAGCAGGAAAATGTCTCTGCTGCTTCTTTTCTCTCTGACCTCTAGACCCTCCTCTTAAAAAGCTCATCTGATTAGGTCAGGCCTGCCCAATTAATCTCACTTTTGGTTAACCTAAAGTGAACTAATCTGGGGGTTTAATTACATTTGTAAAATTCCTTTGCCTTTGCTATATAACGTAACATAATCCAAAAAGTAATATTCCACCATTTTTGCTATGGTCTGCTGGTTAGACACAAGCTACAGGCCCCACCCATAATCAAGAGGAAAGAGTCTTAACAAGGGGCCGGTCATTGGGCTTCATCTTAGAATTCTGCCTACCACACTATTTACACCAAAAATAACATTAAAATCATGAGTGTAACAAACGTGGAGTCTTTTCTTCAAGTTCAGAATACAAAATTTAAAGGACAGCCCCTAGAGCACTCATTATTTAGTGATCCTTAGAAGGATTTTCAGGGAAATTAATTTACAACATAGATTTTCCTGGCCCCACCCCTAAAGAGTCGAATTCAGCTGGCAAAGAGTCAACCAGGAATCAGCATTTTAAATAAGTTCTCCCTGATGATTCTGACATAAGTTCTGACCACGCGCTGAAAACCCCTAAATAGTGCTTTCATAATTAAAGAATGACTTAAATTTTCCTGAGGCTCTTTAGTTTGGGCCAAAGAATTCCTCCAAATGTGCTTCTTAGCCCCTTTGTTTTATTAAAGCTATATTTCACAGGCTCCACCTCTCTGCTTAGCATCTAACATATTGAGAAAACTTTATGTAGGCTCAGGAAGTACCCTTCTGTGTAGATAGGGTCTTTCTTATAAGAGTAAGCAGACACCCTTCTCTCTACTGTAAACCAAATATAAAAAATTTTTAATAGCCATGGAGTGGATAGAAACCTGGTTTCTTCTCCAAATGGAGTTTCTACCATTCTTGAGAAAAGAATGGAAAAGAACAAAAGTATAACTCTAACGCAGCCCAGGAAACTCCCTTAAGCAGTGACCACTTCAGTGGTATGTACCCTACTAAGACTCTTGCTGGTTTCTAAAGATAGGACCTCCTTGGACACTCTTTGGTCAAAACAGGGTGGGAAAGCAGCAATGGCCCCAATGATGTGCCTCTCTATTTTCCACATAAACTCTACCTAACTTATGAGACCACAGCAAAAGTTCAAGGTGGTATGTAACTTGGGTTAAATTGGATTCTAAGACCTTCAAATGCCAGAGTTTTTCAGAGAAGAAAAACACTGGGAAAAGTTCTAGAAGTTACTGAGGGACATCAGGACATCAGTAGGCATCATCAGCATAAGTTACAGATACCCAAAGAGTAATAAGGAGCCATAAAGACAAGTAAGAGGGAAGAAACCCACAGCATTGATTCACTCAATTAATAGCTATTGAGTGCTTATAATGTATTGCATCGTGCTCTACGCATTATCACAGCTCCTCTACATTTTGCACTAGAGAGAAGAGGCTTGCTTTCTTACTGCCTGGTTTTGCCCCTTCTTGAAAAGCTTGTAAAACATACCATACTCCTCTCAGCATAGGATCACCTGTGATCAATAAGAAAGAAGGCTGCTGTGACAACTTTTCCTTACTCCCTCTTGACCCAAGGGTATCAAACCAGGCCAATTACAGTTCTCCCTTGCAACTTGACCTTAACTTCTAAGGAAAATCCTCAAAGATGGAAAGAGAGGCAGATCAGTGTGGCTGTCAGGGGGTAGGAATAATGCATGTGGCTCTGTCCCCATGTGGATAACCCAGAGAAAATTGGTAAAAATAAAGGAACCAAAATGTGCAGCCTCATAAGAGGGTTGAGGCTGACACATGCACTGCTCTACTTTCCCCACGTGTTAAACTGGCAGTTCACACTGGCTGACCCAAGTAAAATATCTGAGTAGGTAACATGTCTGTGTCAACCCAACCTTCCAAGTCATATCTACATCCTTCCCCTCCCATAACCCTTCCCGTGTCTCCAGTGTTCTCTTTCTTGGATTCCACACACTATATTCTTGAGTTCTCTTCCTATTAAAACAAGTTGTCAGAAAAGAATCAGAAAGTCACTTATATGACCTTAAAAAACAGGTTGATTTTTCTAATCTTTATTTTGTATTGTAGTTTAACAAATTATAGTTATATATATTTAGGGAGCACAATGTGATGCTATGATTTATGAATACAGTGTGAAATAATTAAACCTAATTAACATATTCATGATCTCAAATACTTATGTTTTGTGGTGAGAACACTTGAAACTTTCAGTGATTTTGCAATGTGCAATGCATTATTATTTACTATATTTGAAGATTTTAGTGGTGCAAGTTACCTAATCAGTTGTCACTACTGTATCTAGAAACCAATCTTGAAAGCGTATGATGGCTTTTTTAGCACCATCTGCTCGCAGCGCCGCCTCCTGCTACTCCAGACGCCACTGCCGCCCGGAGTCACTGCTTGTGCTGCTCCGGCCGCCTAGAATCGATATTCTAGCCATCGATATTTGGAGTTCTTATAACATAGCAGACATTAACAACAGAGAACAATGCTCTGAACTTAATTAAGATTTGGATGACATTGAAAAAGTAGAAGAAGAAACTGATGAAGAAACAAAAATCAAAGCACAAGAGCTAACTGTTCAGATGATGCAAAATCCTCAGGTTCTTGCAGCCCTTCAGGAAAGACTTGATGTTCTGGTAGAAATACCAACAGGTTACATTGAAAGCCTGCGTAGGGCAGTTAGAAGACAAGTGGATGCTCTCAAAAACCTGCAGGTTAAATGTGCACAGATAGAAGCCAAATTCTATGAGGAAGCTCACGATCTTGAAAGGAAGTATCCTGTTCTCTGTTGGCCTCTATTTGATAAGCAATTTGAGATTATTAATGCAATTTATGAACCTACGGAAGAAAAATGTGAATGGAAACCAGTTGAAGATGAGATTTCAGAGTTGAAAGAAAAGGCCAAGATTGAAGATGAGAAAAAAAAATGAAGAAAAAGAAGACCCCCAAAGGAATTCCTGAATTTTGGTTAACGGTTTTTAAGAATGTTGACTTGCTCAGTGATACGGTTCAGGAACATAACCCTATCCTGAAGCACTTGAAAGATATTAAAGTGAAGTTCTCAGATGCTGGCCAGCCTATGAGTTTTCTCTTAGAATTTCACTTTGAGCCCAATGAGTATTTTACAAATGAAGTGCTGACAAAGACATATAGGATGAAGTTAGAACCAGATGATTCTGATCCCTTTTCTTTTGATGGACCAGAAGTTACAGATTGTAAGGGTGCCAGACAGATCGGAAAAAAGGAAAGAATGTGACTTTGAAAACCAGTAAGAAGCAGAAACACAAGGGATGTGGAATAGTTTGTACTGTGACTAGAGCAGTTTCCAATGACTCTTTCCTTAATTTTGTTACCCCTCCTGAAGTTCCTGAGAGTGGAGATCTGGATGATGATGCTGAAGCTATCCTTGCTGCAGACTTCAAAATTGGTCACTTTTTACATGAGTATATAATCCCAAGATCAGTGTTATAATTTACTGGAGAAGCTATTGAAGATGATGATGAAGAAGGTGAAGAAGCACATGAGGAAGGGGAAGAAGAAGGAGATAAGGAAAATGATCCGGACTATGACCCAAAGAAGGATCAAAACCCAGCAGAGTGCAAGCAGCAGTGAAGCAGGACGTATGTGGCCTTGAGGATAATCTGCACTGTAATAGGCTAAACACAACTTTTATTTACTTAAAGCCTTATGTTTTTGTACTTTCTTGGTGGACTAGGTAATTTTTTTAAAGGACAGGAAACTGATAAAGACCAATTTGTTCTACCTAGCATTTTAACTAGTTTTTCTGCCAGATATGTTGAATGGACAAATTCTGTCATGCATGTTCATTCATTGCTACATAATTGGGTTCTTCTGGAATAATTTTAAGCAGCTCTTGGAGTACAGCTATGAAAATTAACAACTGTTAAAAGAAATACTTTTTCAGAAGTTTTTCCTTGAAGAACCAAAGTATTTTTTCAGCTGGTTGTTGAAAAGGGTTAAGTCTGCTTGGATTAGCTGTGCCTTTTATTACTTTGCTACAGAAATGCAGTGACTTACACTAAGACAATTCATCATTAAAAAAAAAAAAAGGCGAGACAACTGTATGGTTAAGAATTTCCAATATGACCACATCCAACAACTGTATTAGATTGTTAATGGATTATTGTGTTATAGGTAACATAGTTAATTGTAAAGTAACCTGACTCAGTATAGTTATTGGTACCACATTGAGGTGATTAAAACAGGATTTTCGGATGTTAGCCTGAATTTAACCGTACTTTGAAATTTAACCTCCATTAACTAAGCCTCTTTTCTTTGTAGTAGAATCTACTTTCTGATTCCCTGGAAAAGATGAATTTATATCATTTGACAAGCCTGTTTTCAAGTTATTTGTTGTTTGTTTGCTTGTTTTTGTAGCTTAAAATAAAAATTTCAAATACAAAAAAAAAGAAAATGTGTGATGATGCTCTTTTAAATAGCTGAAAGGAAATTATTGTGTGCTTGTTCTTACTTTGTCCCTGTTTTGTTATGTAATACTTAAGTAAAATGAGACTATTCATCCTCATTGAATTTCCAAAACTTATATTTACATTTGCCATTTTTTAATGATGGAGAGAAAAGTTAGTTGTCTTTCTTTGATAAGCTTGACACAGGACCTATCACTTTTTGGTGTTTTTTATCACAATTCTGTCACCAGAATCCTAGTAATTAGGTATATGCAAGGAATAACCTAATCACTTTAATACAACAATATGAAGTGCTGCAGGCAGTAACTAGTGAACACCAAATCACAGTGTTTTAATTTGTGACATGTTAGAATAACAGGACTTTCTTTAGTATAAATATTCTATTAACTAATCCTTGTTCTGTTAAGTAAAAGGGTTTTAACTCCTGTGTCTGAAAAAGGCACTGACCCCTGCTAAATCTTGAGCACTGATACCAGTTGAAGCCTTATCTTCAGAACCAGGAGAAGCTGATAATCAAAATGAACTGCTTTCAAGAGACACGGGAGTTGATTGTGTGGACTGAACTAATAGGGGACTGAAATCATTTTTATGGCTTTGTTTGGAACGCTGCTGATTCTTGAAAGTCTGGAGAACTTTTTGTATTTTGAGCTATCTGTAGCATTTAGCAATTGAGTACAGTATACTGTTGTAAACAGAATTTGAGGCACATTTCTTACTCTAATTTCTCCAGAATTTGTAAATTATGTGTGAATATACTTCATTCATGACAATGTGCTTGTTTGCATAAGTTCAATAAGAATCTGTTTGGTTTTAGAACTGGACACAATTAGAGGAACTGGTTATTTCCCCAGGACTTTGTCTGAAATGACCTTGTGAAAGGTTCCAGCAAGGCCAATTTAGGAGAGCCTATTTGGACAATGATTTTTGCCACACTTTGTCTGGATAATCAGGCCAAGTCTATGAGACTGAAGCTTATTCTGCAGGTAGACTGGTCCTGCTGAGATTAGTCTTTGGTAAAAGTGGTGAACTGGAGACAGAAAGATTGTGTTTCAGAAGATAATGATAGTATTAGATCAACCTTTGACTCCTGGGGAGCCATTGATGGTATGGAGCTACCCACAATGCCCCTCCTTAGCATGAACCAGCCAGAAAGATCAACAGCCAGATTACCCAAGATTGAGGCACTGATAAATAGAAAGGGGAGACTGAAGCCAAACCAATAGTCCCATAGACAGTTTTTTTGTTTGTTTGTTTGTTTGTTTGTTTGTTTGTTTGTTTGTTTTGGATAAACATAGAAATTGACCCTTCTGGTCTTAAAGCTTGAAATCTACATTTGTTTTATTGGAGTTCCTTCCTCAGGGGAAGACCTCCAGGCCTCTCAAAAAGTACCAAAGAACTGAAACTCATAAGATTACCACATCCACACAATGATGCACCAGGCCACTCATTCATTATGAATTGCTTTCTTACCTCTTTCCAGTTTCTGTTTCCCATACATAGTTACATTTCTTCCCTACTATATAAGCCCCTAGTTTTAGCAGGTCAGGGAGATGGATTTAAGACTGATCTCCCATATCCTCAGTGGTAGCACTCGATTAGAGCCTTCTTTCTTGGCATTACTCATCATCTCAGTCATTGACTTTCGGTGCAGTGAGCAGCAGGACCTAGACTAAACCTCTGGTGTATCAGTAACATATTCACCATGCTGTCTAATATATTTCAAAGAAAAAAAATTTATTTCTTCTGTATAATTGAGGATTTGTACCCTTTGACCATTATCTCCTTATTTCCTCCAACTCCCAGCCTGTAGTCACCACCTGCAATGGTTTCAATGTCCTCTCCAAAACTCATGTTGAAACTTAATCCTCAACATGGTAGTATTGAGAGGTAGGTCCTTCAAAAGGTGATTGGAACATGAAGGCTCTGCCCCCATTAATGGTTAATCCTCTCAAGGATTAATGAGTTAACAGATGAATGAGTTATCATGGGGAGGCAGGGTTTTATAAGAAGAGAAAGACAGACCTGAGTTACACATTAGCACACTCAGCCGCCTTACCCCGTGATTCCCTGCACTGCCTTAGTACTTTTCAGAGAGTCAACACCAACAAAAAGTCTCTCACTAGAGGTAGCCCCTCAACCTAGGACTTTCCAACCTCCAGAACTATAAGAAATAAATTTTGTTTCTTATAAATTACCGAATTTTAGGCATTCTCTTATAGGCAACAGAAAAGACTAACACTTTACCATTGTACTATGCTTTTTTGAGTTCATTTGTTCTAGATTCCACATATAAGTAAGAACATGCAGTATTTGCCTCTCTGTCTGGTTTATTTCACTTAGCATAAGGTTTTCTAATTTTATCTATGTTGTCACAAATGACAAAAACTTTTTAAAGGCTTAATAGTATTGCATTGCGTGTGTGAGGGCATGGGGTGTGTGTGTGTGTGTGTGTGTGTGTGTGTATTTTATACATATATATACACACACATATCACATTTTCTTTATCCATTCATCTCTTGAAGGACACTTAGATTAATCTATAACTTGGCTATTGTGAATAGTACTGCAATGAACATAGGAGTGCAGACATCTCTTTGACATACTAAATTTCAAATTTTTTGAGTAAATACCCAGATTGCTGGATTACATGATAATTCTATTTTATGTTTTTTTGAGGAACAACCATACAATTTTTCATAATTATATACTAATTTACATTCCCAACAAGAGCGTACAAGGGTTCCTAGCCATTATGACAGGTGTGGGGTAATATCTTATTGTGGTTTTAATTTGCATTTTCCTAATAATTAGTTATATGGAGCATTTTTTCAAATACCTGTTGACCATTTGTATGTCTTATTTTGAGAAATACCCGTTCAAGTCCCTTGCCCATTTTTCCCTTTATATATGCCAAGCCACATTGCCCATTTTTTAATCAGGTTGTTTTCTTTCTATAGAGTTGAGTTGCTTCCGTATTTGGATATTAATGCCTTATCAGATGTATGGTTCACAAATATTTTCTCCCATTCAGTATGTTGTCTCTTCACTGTGTTGACTCCTTTGCCATACAGAAGCTTTCTAATTTGTTGCAGTCCTATTGCTTATGATTGCTTTTGTTGCTTGTGCTTTTAAAGTCATATCCAAAAAATCATTGCCCAGCCCAATGTCATGAAGCTTTTTCCCTGTTAATAGCTATTCTGTAATGTTACAGTTTTAGGTCTTACATTTTTCATTGATTTTCAGTTGATTTTTGTATATGAAGTGAGATAAGGGTCTAATTTCATTCCTCTGCATATGGGTATACAGGTTTTTTCAACACCATTTATTGAGGAGTTCTTTTCCCAATACGTATATTTGGTAACTTTGTCAAAAATCAATTGACTGTACATGCATGGGTTCATTTCTGGGCTCACTATGTTGTTCCATTAGTCAATTAGTCTATTTTTATGTCAGCATCATTCTTTTTTAATTACTACTGTTTCATAATATAGCTTGAAATCAAGCAATGTGATGCCTCTAGCTTTGTTCTTTGTGCTCATGGTTGCTTTGGCTAGTTGAAGTTTTTTGGAATTCAATATAAATTTTAGAATTTTTTTTTTTTTTGAGACAGAGTTTCGCTCTTGTTACCCAGGCTGGAGTGCAATGGCGCGATCTCGGCTCACCGCAACCTCCGTCTCCTGGGTTCAGGCAATTCTCCTGCCTCAGCCTCCTGAGTAGCTGGGATTACAGGCACGCGCCACCATGCCCAGCTAATTTTTTGTATTTTTTTTTAATAGAGATGGGGTTTCACCATGTTGACCAGGATGGTCTCGATCTCTTGACCTCGTGATCCACCCGCCTCGGCCTCCCAAAGTGCTGGGATTACAGGCTTGAGCCACCGCGCCCGGCCTAGAATTTTTTTATTTAATTTTCATAAAATGAAAATTTACATTGGAATTTGGACAGGAATGACATTAAATCTGTAGATTGCTTTGGGTAGTATGGACAATTTAACAATTATCTTAACATTTATGAACACAGGATATCTTTCCATTCATTTGTGTCTTCTCCAGTTTCTTTCATTAATGTATTAAAGTCTTTTGGTGTACAGACCTTTCACCTCCCTAGTTTAATTTATTCCTCCTTGGTTAATTTTATTATTTTACCATAGCTGCTTTAAATGCAATTGTTCTCTTTCTTTTTTGAAATGTTTGTTGTTATTGTATAGAAAC